CTAACTTTACCACGATGTTTCTTGAAAGTATTCAAATTAGAAATTTGCATATTCTCATTTCGCTCTTAAAGCTTCCTCTATGAGGAAGCCATGTGCAAATTTCTAATTTGCACACTTTACTTTTTTCTAATTAGAAATTGCACATTGCTTCCATTGTTATGGCTTCCTCATAGAGGAAGCTTTAAGAGCGAAATAAGAATATGCAAATTTCTAATTTGAATACTTTCAAGAAACATCGTAGTAAAGTTAGATTTCTCTCTTAAAGCTTCCTCTATGAGGAAGCTATAACAATGGAAGCAATGTGCAAATTTCTAATTTGCCTACTTTAATGATGAGGAAGAAATGTGCAAATTTCAAATTTGCACGCTTCAATGCTGAAGAAGCAATGTGCAAATTTCTAATTTGCACACTTTCAAGAAACATCGAAAAAAATTAGATTTCGCTCATAAAGCTTCCTCCATGAGGAAGCCATGTGCAAATTTCTAATTTGCACACTTTACTTTACTTTACTTTTTTCTAATTATATATTATATTGTTCTTCAGTTTTTTCTATCAAAATTTCATATATGATTCATTAAAATATGATTAATTAGTTCTTGAGTTATAGACATTGAAATTTTTGGAAATCATTATTAAAGATAATTTGCGATAGTTACAGCAACCATAGACATTTCTCAAAAACAATTCAAAAGCACATAACTCCGAAAGTACCTAACGAAAATATATTTTATTATAGTGTTTTGGAAAGCTCTTGAGGTAAGCTATAAGAATATGCATTTAAAAAACGGGTTTCCATTTAAAAATTTCAAGGTGATCTTTACGTGACCTTGAGGAAGCTGTTCAAGGTCATATTTATATTACTATGTAATGCATTACTTAAAACCGTACAACTTTCATGTTTAACATTTTTTCCATCTTACATATTTAAAAAGTTATTTAGAGTTACCTTATAAGGATACATACAGCATACATACATACACACATACACACATACATACATACCGACATTTTTTCTGAATGTGATTTTTGAACGTTTTAGAACATTCTAAACATGTTTTCAAAAAAAACTGGAAAAAAATTTTTTCACGAAAACAAAGCTTCCTCTATGAGGAAGCAAAAGTACATTTTATTCATTAGTCAATTTTGACAGTTTTTTTACAACAAACTTTTTAATTAATTTCAAGTTTTGTTGATGAGCGTATTGTCTCATTCTTAGCCGAACATAGTAAATTGATGCAAATGATAGTATATCAGATGCGTGCTCTTTACACGGAAACGTAAATTCATACGTTGAAAGAACATCATCCAACGTTAATTCAAAAACATCTACATGAGATGCATGTTTTGAGAAGCACGTTTCTATGTGACGAACGAGATTAAAGAATCTAAGATTGGGGTAAATTAAACCACCACGAGTTTTTACGTCAGTTAGCTTCATTACCGAAGTCGATACAAAAGCTTGACTTCTGGAATCAGTTTTCACAGCTTTTATACAAATGCTACACGAGTTATAAATTTTTAGGACTTGCTTGCACAGATATCCTAAAATAAAAATCGAAATGCTTTAATAAATTCTTCACAAGCTTGAAATGATAATTTGAGAGCGAAAAACATAACTACGACAGGAAAGAACTTACCGTACACTACTTTTACACTTACTTGTTATCCTTTTTTACAGATTTATTACGATTCTCGAATTCAGGTAAAAATAACGAAAGTAAACAAACTATAAAATATTGACAAATACAATTATAAATATTCATATATTAGGAAATTCGTTTATTTCCATAATTTCTACCCAAATCCAAGAAACATACCAACATATCCAACAATAGATCTCCTGGTTCTTAGAATTAAGAAATGATAAAAATCAAATTAAACCAAGTTTAAAGTTAATATATATTAACTTTATTAACCCTTGTGTGCATTACCAACTTTACCCACATTGTTGCATATCCGGGTACCCGGGTACCCATCGCGCATTTTTTAATGGTTTGAACATTTATGCAATCGTAACCGTTTCCCTAACGTTTATTTCAATATATTAACACCAAAAGTGTGTGAGTGTATGAAGTTAGCATCCCACATTTTGAAAATTATAATTTTAAAAAAGGACGTGGTG